TTGAGGGATATCTCCATTTTCAGCCCCTCGGTGTACGCTTTGATTTTCTCGCCTTCGGTCAGGTCGGTGATGCGGTTCAATAACTGCTCCATCTGCTGCGTGTACTGTACTATGCTCCCGTATTGCTTATGCCGATGAAATTACTTGTTATGTGATGCTATCACTTGCATTCACGTCTGTCTGCCTCCCATCATATGTTCGTGCGTTGCATGCGTGGTGTGAGCGTGTGCAAGAATTTGTGATTGGTGTGGTTTGATTTTTCTGAGTGTGTGTGTAAGCTATCTTGCTTGAGCAAATATTTGAAATGACTTCTCTGCTCAAGAGCTTTTCGACGAACCAAGAATCGTCCCAATCGAAGTACGGACGATAAATTTATTATCGTTCGAAGTTATGGTTGGTTGCGGCGATTATGGGAATTTGTGGAGTGACTCTATATGGGCTATGGACTTTTGGGGGTTGGGAAATTCATCACTCTACTGTATTTTGATGCCAAGTGGTCGGGAGAAGCCAAACCAGGTTGGCAAGTATGGCCAAGTTGGGTGAGGTGGATGGCTTGGGTTGGGAAAGTGATAAATACCAAAGTTGGGGTGCCTATAGGGAGGGGAATTGTGTGGTATGGGGTTTCCTTGGTTGGGAACTCCCTTGGGACCTTCCCTCTCGTCCTCCTCATCCACTCATACCTGGTTTCTAGCTACTCTAGCTTTCTTGTGTGAAACTTGTGAAGACAATTGTGATTGAGTTAAGTTTCTGTGGCAGCATACCTCCTAGTGCGCCGAAATTCATAACTCGAGAAGTACTTCACCTTATCGTACGACTCAAATTGGGAATTGTAACCACGGACCAGCGCTACAACATATCTGATTTTGGTGAAGCTTTACGGTGAACTTCTCGTCGACGATGTTTCTTGTGAAGTCGACATTTCTGTCCAGAATTCTAAGCCAACGATTTTGAGATATTTCGGCCCCTAATCTTTCTAGACTCCGTCCTTAGTCTCTAACATTACTGCCGCGCCATGTAGGTCAAATTTATGGGTTCGAATCTTTGATTAGGTCTGCCCAAAACTGCGCCCACGTTCCCTCTCCGCGGACCATGTTGCTGTAGTAAATCCACTCGAGTGTCGGGCCTCGCAATAGTGTCGCTGCGAGCCGAATCCTTGCTGCGTCGTGTGTCGGGGTCGAACAGCCAATGGCCTCAAAGCAAATTTTGAGGGTCGCCACAAATCGTCGAACGACCGATCCCTTCGTGCTTGGATCGAACACTTCGGGGAGCCTCGGGCGAGCTACTTCGAGGTTCGGCGAAGCTGGTGCCACTGCTGCGTGAAATGTCGGTGTCGCCGCAGCTGCTGCTGCTGCTGCCGTTGCTGTTGCATTTGCTGTTGTGTTCACTGCTGTTGTGGCAGCTGCCGATTGGTTTGCGAGGAGCGCTTCAATTCGTCACCAAACCAAGTGTCGTTCGCGTCTGGTCCAGGTCGGTGCGAATGTTGGCGATTTCTTGCACGAAGTTGTCACCTTGACCTTCCATCCCTAACATCGCGTGTCCAAAAACCGAAAACGAGGGGGGGTGAAAAATACGGAACCGTTTTTACGTACCCGAAGTCGGTGTTTAACGTTCGTCACCCCCGCGGTTTTTTTAAGACTGGTTTTTAGTGGTTAAAAAAACTTCGCGTATAAACGGCTCTGATTACCAAGTGTGAGGATCGAGGATCGAGCTCAGAAAAGTGAGTTTGAAATGATTGATTCACCTGGGTACAATACTGTTATGTGATGCTATCACTTGCATTCACGTTTGTCTGCCTCCCATCACATGTTCGTACATTGCATGCGTGGTGTGAGCGTGTGCAAGAATTGGTGTTTGATGTGGTTTGGTTTTTCTGAGTGTGTGTGAATTTTTTTTTGCTTGAGCAGATATCTGAAGTGACTCCTCTGCTCAAGAGCTTTCCGACGAACCAAGTATCGCTTCAATCGGAGCACGAACAAGAAAGTTACGAACGTTGGAAGATCGTATTTGGTTGTGGTGACTATGAGAGATTGTGGAGTTGACTCAATATGGGGCATAGACTTTTGGGGGTTGGGAAATTCGTCCCCATCACTGTAGATGCTGCCAAGTGGTTGGGAGAAACCAAATTGGGTTGCATTCGTGGCCAACTTGGGTGAGGTGGATTGTGGAGGTTGGGAAAGTGACAAAAGTAAAAGTGGGGTTGCTATAGGGAGGGGATTTGATGTGCTTATGGGGTTTCCTTGGTTGGGGACTCCTTGGGGACCTTCTCTCTCGTCCTCCTCTACCTCCTACCTGGATTCTAGCGACTCAAACTCTCCTGTGTAGTAATTGTGTGAACTTTGTGATTGAGTTAAGATTCTATGGCAGCATACCCCCTAGTGCGCCGAAATTCATAACTCAAGAAATTCTTCACCTTTTTGTACGATTCAACTTGGGAATTGTCGCCACGGAATACAGCTACAATATATCCGAAATTGGTGAAGTTTTGACGATGCGTTTTTTGTCGACGGCGTTTCTTGTGAGCGCGATTATTCTGTCCAGAAATTGAGACCAACGATTTTGTGATATTTCGGACCCTAATCTTCATAGAATCCGTCGTAAGTCTCTAACAAACACGAGGCTATACATAGTCTCAACACAAGGCAGGTAACCAAGGTGTTACGTGAACGTTTTGAGGATCGCGAAGCATCCCGAACAGAACCTTCCCCAACTCGGTAGAAATCAATTCGGTGGCAACCGAAAGGCTTGAGTTCGGTATAGGAATGCACCTAACCTAGGAAATCAAGCATTACTATGTATGATAAAATAAACATAGGCTAGAAATAGCATAATAAAGTCAACGCCAGCTAGCCAAGCTAGCATAAGCAGTCGTACCCTCTCAGTAGAGCCTCGTAGTCGCTCGGCTTCCTGACGATGACGCGCGACTAATATATGGCGGGTCCTTGCAGTAACGACACAAAGCAGCAAACTCTCGCCGCATCCAACAAGACGAAGTTCACGTCGAAAAACACACTCGTCATGAAGATACACGCTTGAACCGCCGGGCCACCCCATTGACTCGGGTCGAAGCATGGCGGACGTTGCAACTTGACTAGCATTGGTGAAAAGAGTGCCGACTAGTCGATATGCGTTGTAATGTTAACGTGATGCTGACTTCCAGCCGCGTTCGTCGCTCCGGGGTGTGTCGTTCCGTGGTCATCGCGAATGTCGTTGCATGCGACGCCATCACTAGCAACGCTCGAGCACTGTCCCACACTTTCGTGTCGGGTGGCGGATGGTGCTCCTTGTGCTGTTGTTCCTTGTGTTTGTGTTTGTGCTTGTTGCACCCGTGCAATGTCGTTTTGCAGTGACGTGCGTTATGCAGTGAGTGCGGCGATTTCGACTCTGCTTTCGCGTGCGGTTTGCAAGGTCAATGCGATCTCCCATGTCAAAGGACGGCGGACGGTCTAGGTGCTAGGTGCAGTAGTGGCTGAATGCGCTTACGAGAGAGCGGGAGGACAGCGGCTCCTAGTACGCTAAGGGGCGTGAGTTACTTTGAGTGAAAATAAAAAAACATTCAAAAGTTGAGTTTTGTTGGTTGCGGAAAACGTTCGGTCCGAAGGAAAGTGGCTTTGATACACAGATGTTACGGGTGCAATGAATCGAGGAAGCGATGATTGCACTAAGGGAACATTACTGCGGGGACAAAAGTGTCTCAATCACTTTGTGACACCCAAAAATGGCATAAACTGCAGAACGCAGCCAATATGTGAGGTTGTTGTTCAGTAGATGCACTATTTTGTTGCGTGTTACCACTATTTCCGGTTAGCGACAATTTTCGCGAAGTCGTGCTGGAACGTTGTAGCAGACTTTTAGGGATGTAGAACCGGACAAGCTTCAAGAAGCTTCAAGCATATGTCAAGCATATAGGGCCCTGTTCGGTAGCCTTCCAGTCACACTGGGCCCACTCGAACTGGGATGCCTACGAAATGTTTCGTAGCCTCGGGCGTCCACTCACACTGAAAGGAAGTCTCGTTCCCAAATGCAAGAAGTTACCTTGCGTTTCTTGGGAAATTACTTGCCGAAACTTTTACTGCTGTACGAGGCTGCCCCAACCACAAACAAAAAATCAGTCCGCCAAATGAAAAACGGTCGATATGGATAAAGAAAATCAGGAACGGGCAAGATCTCTCATCGTTTGAAAGAGCGTGCTAAAAAAACTTGGACCAGTATGAACCGAATTTGAACCGAATCGAAACTAGTGCAGCGTATACCCTCCAGCCTGTCACTCTGAGCGGGCCTGCCTGGGTTGAACTGGAAAGCTGAAATGGGAGGGACTTCCACTGACTGTCGAGTTTGCCTGGGCGCGACAGTTTCGTGGTAGTGTCCTAGCACGCAGTTGAAGTGGGGTTTTTATGCGTTCGGTAGCCCAGTTGCACTGGACAGGCTCGGTGTTCTAATAACGGTTTTTTGGGTTTTAAGCAATTTGAATTTAGGAAAGAGAAGATCGCACGCACCAACCGCAGTATGACTGGGAGGGCTACCGAACAGGGCCTAGGTAATAGGGCACTTGAAGTGAGTTGACTAGTCGACTTCAGATGGTGAGGACCCCCTGGACTTTATGCCCGTAGCACGCCACCATCTATTAGGCGATAGAATCGGGCAGCGCAGACGAACGTTGCGATGAAATTTGGTTCCCGGTCGAGTCTTGCATTTTCGCGATGACGGTGCACGTGGCTGCGATCGGTTGGTCAGTATGGACCAGCAGATCCAGTATATCCCGTCCTTCGCTCGAAGAACCGCTCTCCCTCTTTCCGCCGCCTCGCCTTCGGAGCAGTCACTTATCCCGCGATGCTGCTCCAGCACCCGTCTGCCGGTCCCTCGCGCCATCGAGCGAGGCTCTACAAAGAGAAGAGGAACTTCCGACTTAATATTACATCGAGCGAGCGAGCGGTCGAGTCAGCGACCCTTTTTTACCCTTTTCCCGTCGCTCCCAGCCGTCCGACTCGAACCTCCCGCCAGCCATGGCGCGCCAGGCTCCTCAGCGCGGGAAGCCGCTGCTGCCGCTGCTCGCTCTGATCGTCTCGGCGACGGTCGCCGTCGCGCAGGATGCAATCTACCCCGTCACCTACGTGCCGGCCACTCAGAGCCTGAGGTTCGGTCCGGGGTACATCGCGTTTGTGAACACCGCAACCAGCCCGCCGTCACTGACCGTTGTCGACTCCACTGGCGCGCCTGTCGCGCCCATTTCTAACGCGGACGGATCCGCCACTGTGGCCGGGTACACCGCGTACCCGAACGGCACCATCACTGGTCCGGGCGGCCTTTCGATCTACATTGGTGCGGGCGACGCTTTGGTTGCTATGGGAACAACAACAGCCCTGAAGAACGGAACCATTGTGGATGGCTCGGGAATGAAGCTCGTGCCGTCGAAGAACGCTGACGGGTCGTACACTGCAGGGGGCATGACTGGGTGGTCCAACGGCACCATCGTTGGCAGCGGCGGCGCCGTGATCAACGCCGGCGCGCCGCTCACCCTCACAGCGGACGGCAGCATTGCCTTCGCCCCCCGGCTTGCTACTCCCGCGCCTGGCGCCGCCATCTCCTTGGACCCCGCCTCCCGCAGCCTGTCGTTCGGCGGCTACACGGTGACGGTGTCGCTGAGCGGCGATAAGCTCTCCCTCGTGGACTCCACTGGCAAGCCTGTCGCCACCACCCCCAACCCTGACGGGTCCCGCTCTCTTGGCGACTACATGCTCTACAGGAACGGCACGATCGCTGCTCCGGGCGGCATTGCCATCCACAGTGCTGGGCCCAACGCGGGGCTGCGTGTGGGAACAACAACGGTTCTGATGAACGGAACGATCCTGGACAGTACGGGAGCGAAGATTGTGCCGACGGGTCCGAATGAGGACGGGTCGTACAGTGCAGGGGACGTGAAAGGGTGGGCGAACGGCACTATTATTGACACCAACACTGGTGTGGTGTTCTATGCTAGGGCGCCGCTGGCCGTCACAGCTGACGGCAGGGTCACTTTGGCTTCTCCTTCCATTCCTGCTGGTGCCGCTGCTCCCACTGCCGCTGCTCCTTCTGCTGGTGCCGCTGCTCCCTCTGCCGCTGCTCCCTCTGCTGGTGCCGCTGCTCCCTCTGCCGCTGCTCCCTCTGCTGGTGCCGCTGCTCCCTCTCCTGGTGCCGCCGCTCCCTCTGCTGGTGCCGCTGCTCCCTCTCCTAGTGCCGCCGCTCCCTCTTCTGGTGCCGCTGCTCCCTCTCCTGGTGCCGCCGCTCCCTCTTCTGGTGCCGCTGCTCCCTCTGCTGGTGTTGCTTCTCCTCCTATTGATGCAGCTTCTCCTCCTACTGATGCCAGTCCCCCACCTGCTGGTTCCACTTCCCCCCCTGCCGGTTCCACTTCTCCCCCAGCTGGTGCCTCTACTCCTGCCGCTCCTCCTCCCCCACCCAAGACTGCTGGTGAATTGCTTCTATGTTTCTCCAATGCTGCTCCTATGAATCTTCCGTGCATCTTCTCCCTTTCTGATGTGCTAGGAAACGTTCTCGTTTTCTCAAATAGTTCTGTCGCCTCAATCTTGCCTTCATGTCTGGAACCTAACCAAGTGATTCCGCTGCACATTTCCACACATCTCTCTAATCCGATGCCTCCTTTTCTCCTCTCGTTTCCTGATTTTCAAATACCGTAGGATGCTCTGACCTGATTCTGTTTTCCCCTGTTGTTCCCCTCGCAATGGCAGGTTTGTTCGCTTCGCCGGCCACTGCGCTCACTGCTCTAATCACTCTCGCCCTTGCCCCACTCATGTTCATGTAGAGCAACGCAGCTCCATGTAAGACTAGACGAGGGCACAAGTGTTTTGCACTATGGAGTAACATGTTACGGTATCATTATTCATGGATTGGGTAACTCCTGTACTTGCTCCTACTCATTAACACTTATAAAGGTAAGACAATGTACAAGAATATCAAAGCTTAGGCAAGGTGGTTTAGACTATCGAGAGTTTTGGTACAAAAGGAAAAGCCTAAGGGGTTGTACCCCACAGTGAGTACCCCACTAAAGCCTACCTAAACTACAACATATAAACATTTGTTTGACACACCCCCATAGGCAAAGTGGGGGAGAACAGCGGGTCACAAGACCAGGCAGGAAGTGCAAAGCAAGCTCAGGGTGAATCACAACGTCACCACGCAGATTGAGCACAAGCAAAAGGCCACAAGGCCAGTTCACATGCAGAGATATATATGTAACAACAACAGCAAGTGATATCTACCTACAAGAGCAAGCATGCAGGTATACATATAGATCACAGTACAAACAAAGCCTACAGCAAGTGAGGAAGTGTGGGCACAAGACCTAACAAGGTGCAGAAACGCTGATGATCACCAGGCGGAAGTGCCTTGGTGAATATATCAGCAGTGTTGGCCCGAGTGGCCACGTAAGCAAGACGAAGCTGGCCACGCTGCTGCACCTCTCGAGCAAGGAAGTAACGCAGAGCGATGTGCTTCGTTCTGTGCTCCAGTCTGTGCTCCTGACACAAGGCAATGGCGGTCTTGTTGTCGACGTACAGAACTGGAGGAGAACGAGGCCGCTCTCCCAAGTCGGTCAGCAGGTAGGTGAGCCAGCGTAGCTCCTGTGCAGCCATGGCTGTGGCGTAGATCTCGGCCTCACAGCTGGAGCCGAGAACTGAAGACGAACGTGTAGAACGCCAGGAAACTGAACCAGAACCAAGGTTGAAGGTGTAACCCTGTGACGACCGCAGCGTAGCCTGATCATCAACCCAAGAGGCGACCGAGTGACCAGTGAGTACAACGTCACCCCGTCCTCCAAGCACGAGCACCATGCCCGATGTACAGCACAAGTAGCGCAGTACCCTCTTAGCAGCATCCATGTGCACCTTTCGGTGCCGACCAGGAGCCACGTAGCGAGCTAGAAGGCCAAGAGGGTACGCAAGGTCAGGACGAGTGCAGGTCATCAGGTACATGAGGCAGCCCACTAGCTCTGGGTAAGGACCACTCGGCTCTACGGACTCGTCCGAAGGTGGAGCTGAGAGCGAGTGACCTGTAGCCAGAGGAGTGGCCTGTGCTGAGGACCAGGTGAAGCCGAAGCGCTGAAGGACCTGCTGCACCATGTGTGACTGAGTGAGTATGATGGTGCGGCGTGCTCTGTCCCGGGTGATCTGCAGGCCAAGGTAGCTGCGCAGCTCACCCAGGTCTGTGCACGTGTGTCTCTTCTTCAGCTCCGACTTCACCAGGGCGAGAGCCTCAGTGTCAGCAGTGGCAAAGACCAAGTCGTCGACGTACACGAGGATGTAGAACGGCGGCAGCGAAGTGTCGGTGCGCAGAAACAACGACGGGTCAGCAGTCGACGGGGCAAACCCAAGAGCCGCAAGAGTCGTCCTCAGTGTGTCGTGCCACTCACGTGGCGCCTGGCGGAGACCGTAGATTGGCCGTCGGAGGCTCCACTGGGTACCAGGAGGGAACGACCCAGTGAAGCCAAGTGGACGGCGCAGCCAGATCTCCTCGTGCATGCTGCCCTGTAAGAAAGCTGTGCTGAAGTCAAGAGAGTGAAGCTCGTAGTCACGCTGAGCGGCAACGTGCAGCAGCACCCAAAGAGTAGTCATCTTCGGGGTGGGGGAGAAGGTCTGGAAGAAGTCAACTCCCTCTCGCTGACTGAATCCTCGAGCAACGTAACGAGCCTTGAAGACAGGCGGAGAACCTGGCGGCCGCTTCACCCTGAAAATCCACATGCCACTGACGATGTTCGCCCCAGGAGGGGGAACCTCGTCGACGTAGGTGCCTGTGGACTTCCAGGATGCCATCTCTGCGTCCATGGCTGTCTGCCACTGAGAGGAGTAGGGACCCTCGATCGCCTCAGCGTACGATTGCGGAGTCGGGATGTCTGGTGCATCCGGGTCTCCCTCAGGGGCAAGCAGCATGGACACGAGATGAGGCGCAGTGGCTGCAAGACACTCAAGGTCCTCCTGCATGTCCTCAAGGACGTCCGTGCCAAGAGCACACTCACCCCCGACGGACGGAGGACAGCCAGACTCAGAATCAGCAACAAGACTAGCGGCGTAGTCTAGACGACAGTGAGCAGAAAAGTCGACAAGCTCAGCGACTAAGGCAGACGCAGCAGCAGACTCAAACGACGGGTCGGCGACAACAGTGGCTAGCAGACACGTGAGAGTAGGGTGCTCAGCACGAAACCGGTCAAACTCAGGGTCAGCAACGTCAGGTAGAGAGGACGCAGGCAGAGACGGCAGGTGAACACGTGGCGGCTGAGAGGAAGGACGACGGACGACAAGGGAAGGGCCAAGGACAGCCGGCTGACACTGACGAGGAACACGACGACTGGAACGACCGGAACGGACAGGTGAGACAGGACGCGACGCAGGCTCACGACGCTCAGCAAGCCCCCCTGTCTGCTCAGCGTTAGGAGAAGGAGCAGGCAGAGGTGAGCCAGGCTGTAACGGAAGACCAGTAGACGACGTGAGGCTAAGAACCTGGCGAAGCACGGAGCCAGGCGGTGGCAGAGACGACGGAGACGGCGGAGCAAAGAACAGGCGCGGCTATGCAGTGCCACCAGCACCAGCAGCTCCAGCACCCTCACCAGCTCCCCCACCTCTAGCAGCTCCAGCACCCTCAGCAGCTCCAGCACCCTCAGCAGCTCCAGCACCTCCAGCAGCTCCAGTACCCGCAGCAACTCCAGCACCTCCAGCAGCTCTAGTACCCTCAGCAGCTCTAGCTCCTCCAGCAGCTCCAGCACCCTCAGCAGCTCCAGCACCTCCAGCAGCCCCAGCACCCTCAGCAGCTCCAGCACCTCCAGCAGCTCCTGAACCCTCAGCACCAGCCCCACCTGGTGCAGCACCCCCGCAACCGGCACCTCCAGTCCCAGGGTCTCCAACCGCAGTGCCACCAGCAGCAGCACCCTCAGACACGCCACCGTTAGCCCCAACAGCTCCAGTACTCCCAGTACGAGCACCTCCGGGACCAGCGACACCAGCACCTCCAGCAGGCAAAGGACCAGCACCACTCCCAGCTCCAGTGACGCCAACAGAAGAACCGCCAGCAGTAGAGCCCTGAGGTGCAGAAGCGCGACGCTGACAGCGACCGTACCAGTCGTGCAGCTGCTGGGAGGTGAGAGGCACACGCGGACGAAGATGGCTACTCCAAGGAGACCGCATAACAGCAGTCTCAGGACCCTCAGGCGACTCACCCCCAGACTCAGCACCCCCAGGCTCCGCACACGCAGGCTCAGCGCACCCCCAGACTCAGCACCCCCAGACGCAGCACCCCCAGACGCAACACCCCCAGACGCAGGACTTCCAGGCTCCTCACGCGCAGGCTCAGCACCTCCAGGCTCCGTACCCTCAGGCCCCTCACGCCCAGCGCCCCCAGACTCAGCACCCCCACGCTGCGCACCCCCAAGCTCCGCACCCCCACGGACAGCACCACCACCAGCAGGACCGGAGTCACCAATGACCTCAACAGGCGCAGGGACGGGAGGGTCTACCTGAGAAACACCTGAAAGAGCAGGACCTGGCGCGGGGAGGGGGTCTACCTGGGGAGGACCTGGGGCAAGAAAGAGCGGCGGGAGAGGGCGAGGAGCAGTGCGGTAGGGGAAGAGGCGGTAAAAGGGGACTGATTCGTCAAAGGTGACGTCCTCGGACGCAAGGAATGGCGCCTCGCGTCAAACTGCCAGCCAAGCGCGTCAGGGACAAAGCCAAGGAAGACGCAAGGAATGGCGCGAGGGGAGAGCTTGTCCACGGTGGTATCGCGAACAAAGGCACGAGCACCCCAGACCCGGAAACGCGACGCGTCGCCAACCTTCCCCGTCCACAGCAGTGTGGGCGAGGTCTCCGGCAAGGAGACACGGGGCCAAAGGTTGAGCTGATGCGCGGCGTACCGGACCGCAAACGGCCACAGAAAATGGGGGGCAGCCACATGGTTCATGGAGGTACGAGCAACCTCCATGACTAAGCCAATGCGGCGCTCAGCAACCCCATTCTGCTGCGAAGAGGCCGGAAGCGTGAAAGTCTGGCGGATGCCGTGCTCCGCACAGAAGGCGGCCAAGAGGTCTGAGGAGAACTCACCACCTCTGTCAGAGTGCAGACGCAAGACAGGAAAGTCCGACTGGAACCGCTCGCGGAGCTGGAGACGAGTAGCGCGGATCCAGGGGATCAAAACATCAGGGACATCCCCCTTGCGCTGCAAGGGGAAGACCGTGGTGTAGCGCGTGTAGTCGTCGACAACCAGCAGGAAGTACCTCTCGTGGCCCTGTCCACGGACGCGGGCTGGGCCCCACACGTCCAGGTGGAGAGTCTGCAGTGGAGCCTCTGTGGGAGGGAATGAGGAGGAGTGAGGAGCGGCGCGCTGCCGCCCCTCGACGCAAGGAATGCAGGGCGGCGCAGGCGAGGGAGGGAGGGCAGGCAGAGACCTGGGAAGACCAGAAACCAAAAAGCGAGAGTGCATGCTACGAAGGCGAGGCAGGGAGGGGTGGCCCAGGCGGTGGTGCCACAGGAGGGTGCCGTGAGACAGCCAGCGACACTCACACTGGGTAGCTACCTGAGCAGACGCGTGCAGCTGGGGAGACAAAGGGGTGGAGCGTGACTCAGTGGTGAGGGTGTACAGACTGGACCCTGGCGCACGGGTGAACGTGGCCAGGTGGCGGCCGGTCTGGGAGCACGTGCAGATCGCCACACGCTGTCGGCTAGGGGTGAAGGTGTCAACACCCGCATCCTGGAGGACAGCGTTGCTTACCAAGTTCGTAGAGAACGAGGGGAGGTGGAGACCAGACAGCTCACCAGACGGGAC